GGCCGAATGGACAGACCTAGCTATTAGGTATTAGACCAAACTCATATTTTTAACTCATTACTTTTTGTTATCATATCTGATGTAAGAGTATATCCACATATTAATAACCTTAACAGTTCCCTCTTAATTTATGAGTATAGTTCAACCTTTAACTATATTTTAATCTTCTCAACTATACTCTAATCTTCCACATGATTCACTAATTTTGCATTACTTAAATCATGGGCTATCTCTTAACTTTTTACACCACTTCAATCATGGGCTAATAATACCATGCATTTAGCGCATGGCTAGAAACATCTGTAAGATTTTCCATCACTTAACTCATGATGACTAACCAAACTATATTACTCCTGCAGGCATCCATGGGTTCTGCTGATATCTCCGGGATTCACATTGGACTTCATCTATTTTTTAATTACTTGGGTCATGGCCTTAGCTCTGGTACCATTTGTGGGGAATAATCAGGCCCAATTTAGTGAACTAATGGGCTTTAAATAGGGACTATGAATCAATTTTATCCCAAAAGCTATAGCTAATAAGTGCTGACACCAACTCATCTTTTAAACTTATTTTTTTTTCTTATCCTATCTAAAGTGAGACTATACTCACATATTAATAACTGTTTGGGTAGAAAATTGTGTTCATTGCTGAATTCATTACAACTTCGGGCGTTATAATAAATTCAAAACAAAAATAGCCTTTTTATAAGACTTTCAATACAATGAAAATAAATTACAACTCTCTTTCAAACAACACGCAACAGGTGTTTATCGCCTATTGCTTTCGCAGGATCTTTGCTTGTGTCGGAGTTTATCCGTGGACTGTCTACGGATCGGATCCGGTTACCGAAAAATTGACAGAGCTCCTACTTCACCAAGGAAGTATTCGCTTGAAGCACTGCGATCGACCAAGCGAAATCAGTAGCTCTTCTCGAGATTAAGACTAAGCCCAATCTCAAGGAACGAACGGACGGGGCTTCAGATCCTTCGAACTCTCCCTTTTTATGCTGAAGAACTTTACCAAGATCTGCTAGCCTCCTTTGAAATTCGTGCTCCCTTGCTCTCCAACTCGGCAACACCTCCTCATCTTGATAATAATTCGCCCCTCGTAAAATGGAGGCCCTAGGCTTGTATTTATAGGGCACTAGATGGGGGTATTTCGATAAAAATAAATGATTTGACCCTATCTTCAGTTAATAACAGCCTAACCACGTTTATGGATGATATCCAATAAGTTGGGAAGCTCTGGAACGAACAAATCCTAAGAAAACAGTAAAAAATTAATAAAACGTGTTTTCGGAAGTTCTGGACGTGAAACAGCTCGTGCTGACCCACAGGGATGCAGCTCAGCCGAGTCTGACCCGTGCTGGTGCGGGTCTGCCAGCGCTGACCCGCGCTAGCACGGGTCGGCCAGCTCCGACCCGTGCTG